TACCACTCTCTCTCTCTCTCTCTCTCTCTCTCTCTCTCTCTCTCTCTGTCTGCTAGTAGCGTCACAGCCAGCCCCTCTCTCCTTCTCTGCCATTAGCCTCACAACCAGCACCCTCTCTAGCTCTCCATTGATGTGCATTTTACAGCCTCTCGCCCTTCTCTCTTCATTGTCCTCTCTCTCTCTCTCTCTCTTGCTGCTGCATGCCCACATAATATGAGCTCTCAAAGGAACGAAGCAAGCTACGGTGGATCTGAGTTTCAGGTATGGAATCCAAAACCTCAATATCTGGTTTGCCTTTTGTGCCTACAAAAATTACCATTATTCTCTCGCACAAACCAATAATGAGACCCATTTCTCTTCGATGTTAGAGTCAATGGCTCTCTGAAACAATAACGACAACTTTTGGTGTAGGGCATCGCCTCTCTCTCTCTCACACAACAATGAGCTTTGATGGTACTTCGAAGATCAAGCTTAAGAAATTAGATATTGGAAGCTCACTAGTTTGGTTCTCTCTCATAACCCATCATGCTCCACATACAAAACCATGGGTTTTTGGGTGATTAACCCTCTCTCCTCTAACACAATGCTGAACAACCACCCATCTAATAGCATGAAACATCCTCGACAAAAGTATGAAGAATAAACCATGTCCAACTCTTTCTGCTCTCCTTTTGTATTATTGTAATTTTCATCCGTTTCTTACCCCTGTACTCGGAACACCTGTCTTGTGGGGCTTTTATTTGTGTGATCAATATACCGATTGTTATAGCCCTTTATGTTCGTTCTTGTTTGTATGGGGTTTAATCATATATCACGGATCTCACTACCACCCCAACAATGCTAAAACGCATAGAGGTGGTATCCAAAGCTACCTCAAATAAAGAACTCATATTTTGGCTAAAAGAAGGGTATTGGAACCAATTTAAACCTTAAGGTCAAATGGAAATCAACCCTTCCCATGCCCCAATTTAAACTCTTGAGACCATTCCAAATTTGAAATTCTCAATTACCAATTCAACCTAATGGAGATGGAATTCACCAAAAAGCTGTGTTTGAGAACACCTGTTTTTTAAAAAAGCAAGAGAACTCTATGCAAAAAAATCTCTTTATGCACTAGCAAAACGTCCTTGAGCCTACTCATTCAGATTTCTCTCTTTGAATTGAACTGACTTTACTCGGTCTGTGGAATAAAGAAGTGTGTCGATGATCGTCAATAAAAGGTTACCTGGTTCTCAACTCAATAAAAAAGACAACTCATAATCTGAAAACAGAGAGAGACAGACAATAGAGAGAGAGGAGGGTGAGAGACTGTAAGATGCACATCAATGGAGAGCTAGTGAGGGTTCTAGTTGTTAGGCTACTGGCAGCGAAGGAGAGAGAGTGGTTGTGACGCTAATGGCAGAGAGAGGTGGTGAGAGAAATGGAGAGAGACTGTGGTTGGATGTTTGCTGTGGCAAGAGAGAGATGCTAATTACAGAGAGGAGAAAAAGAGTGGCTCTAATGTGAACAGAGAGAAAGAGAGAGAAGGGGGTTGTCAGGTGACTGTTTTGAGTGGTACGAGAAAGAGAGAGTATAAGGTGAACAGTTCACAGGTTCGAATTGACGTTGCAGAGAATAGAGAGAGAAATGGAAAAACAATAGTGGACGTCGATTTTGCCCAAGCTTATCCTGACCACTGGGCATATTTATACCCATAC